TGATTTGCCTCTTGCTTGGAATTGGAGCCTCTGTGGGACATCTCGCTCTTTTTTTTTTTTTTTCTTCTCTGCGCAAGGAATCTGAAGTCCTGGCGAGGCTCCCTGGCATGTTGTCTTACCTGTGTCTTGCTCTGTGTGTTTATATAGAGAGTAATTCTTTCCACTGAGTAACTCGCACGCTCTGTTGGCTCATCCCTTTCTCGCTCAGACCACATGGGGGACTGTCTTGCCCACATGAGCTCCCATCTATATTTAGCCCCTGGAAGGGGAGCTGATTTCTGGAGGGGTGACCTGCTCTGACTCGCCTGTTTCTCTCCAGTTTTCTAGATGGCAGCGGCATAGACGACAGCCCATCCACACAGTTTGCAGAGGTGAGTTTTGCTAACTTGGCTTTTCTTTTTTTCTTTTTTTTTTTTTTTTGACTATAGCCAAGAAGAGATTTTCTGTCTTAGCTCTGAGCGCGGTACGTGTTTGAGTGGAAAAACACCTAGCCCTTGCTTGGATGCCTCCTGCCAAGGAGGGGCTTGGTCTTTGAAGGCATCTTCACTTGCTCTCCTGTAAAGAGGACAGTCAGTCTTCATACGAGATTTCAGGAACCCAGTGGATTATTTTGAGGGGGCTGTTGACTTTCCCAGGAGATCTAAGACCTGCCAGAGATTTGCTCCCTGGGCAGGCCAGGAGAAGAAGGATTTTAGCAAGTATGTGAAAGATACTCTGGCCTTCAGCGCTAGGAGCTGCAGGGGTGTGTGTCAGTGATGCTTGTCCAGCCAGGGAGGCTGTTGTCTGACTGTCCTTTCTTCCCTGCTCACTGTTGCTCTGAGCACAAGAAGGTTTTACCAAAACTGGAACTAACTAAAAAGTCAAAACGCGTAACAAAGTTGGTATTTTTTAATTCAGTTGCGTGGGCTCCCAAACAGGGGCCGATGGGCAGCAGGGGCAGGAAGCACCCTTTCTTACACCGTTACCTAAAGTCACAAGCAGCCAGGCACGTGCTGAGGAGCCTGAGTCAAACTCCACGCATACGCCCCCTTAGCTCATGCTGTAGCCTCGCCGGGTCACCCTGGGAGCGTGGCTGTGCTGGCAGCTCCTTTTCCAGACACCAGGGAATGGCAGGTCGCTTTAGTGTCTGATTGCAGACTCTGTTCTGAAGGGCTGTATTTTCCTTTCAATTCCTAAGCTAATAAGCTTGGTTGAGCTGTAAAAAAGACAGAAATAAAATCTCTGTGCCTCTCCCCTGCTAACAGGCCTTGCTCAGAGATCAGGTTATTCATTTGCCTGGTTATTGAGGAGTTTTAATTGTTTCTTGGCTTGCCAGGCTCTTCAGATATCCTAGTGTCTTGAGTCATGGTGTGTTGGCCATGTAAAGGTTATCCCCGGGTAGGTTTGGGTGCATGTGCTGTTGCTGAGTCCTCCTTCGTGCGCTGCACCAAATCCACTCGGTGTAATACCAGGAGGAGTGTCACCAAATAACTGAAATTCCTTTACAGCTTTGTGTTTCAGATCTGGATCCCCCCTCTTTGCTTCCACTTTCACTGTTTATGGCAGATTTGCCTCTCCTCCCCTCCCCTGCAGTTCAATTGGATCCATTTGTCTTCTGAACAAAACTGTTGCTTTTATACTGCTCCTCCCCAGCGCTGTATCCCAGAAGTGCCCATGTTTCAGCGAGATAAAGTGATCTCTTCTTATAGCCCACGTGTCAGTTTACAAAGAGCTCTGGGATGCCTCTGAATGAAAAGCACTATGTAAATGTAAATGGCTTTTAGGATTAATAATAAATGAAGCTCTTCTCTCAGCAGCGTGGCTGCAGACAGGCAAAGCTGTGTCTTCATCATAACCAAATTCTCGTCTGTGGGGTGTTAATTCAGAGAACAGGTCATAAACGTGATTTCTCCCTTCCCCCCAGTACTCGGCTGAACCGGGCAATGTAAGAGACTTGTAGAGTGAGCTAATTTGGTGTGAAATGCAAATTAAGCTGCTCTGATCCTGTCATAATGCATGATGAGGGTCTAGTACAAATAAGTAAAGGACAGCCCTTGTGTTATGCTCTGTAGCATTTAATTCCTGCAGTAAATCTGAGGGCACTGCTCCTTCTAATATCACTTTTACAGTGCAGAGCCTAGCCCAAGCATATCAAGTGTGAACAGCAGCTTGCTCCCACGTGGCACAGAGAGGCTTTCTTGTCTGACGCTCCTTATTTTATTTTGTCCTGTGAAATTTTTTCATAAACCCAAATCATCAATCTTCAGTGCCCTCCTCGTAGCAGAGCATCAGTTGTTATTTTAATCCCCTGGGTAATCTCAATTGCAGGAGAAATCCCTCCAAACGGGCTAAAACCAAAGGGGTTTTGCACGCGAGGGTGGCCAGAGCGGGCTCTCGGCTCTGAGCTGTGGCTCAGTGACGGGGATGTCCTGCCCTGGGTCCCTGCGTATTGTCATACACCCACCCAACTCCTCTGCAGCTGGCAGCATGGAGCAGAGACTGTAGCCAGGAGCTCTGCAGATTCATTGATTACCCCCAGCAGTTTTTGATTCGTGTCTGATGCAGGTGGTCCATCTGAGCTGTCTCGACACTCACTTGGATTGGCAGTTTGACTCGGTCAAGGAGCCTGTGAGTTTTGGCACCAGCAGCAGTGGTGGCTGCGTGCCCTCATGGTGGGAGATCTGCTGCGGGGCCGGGAGGCAGGCTTACGTGTACAGCTGGATCCCACGGGACAGTGTTATCTGAGTGAGACCTTTCATTACCAGCCGTTTTGTGCCGACCTGTTTTGCAGCATCAGGTCGCCTGAATTGGAGGATGCGACCAAAGACGCAAGCCTTCTTTTTTTGGGGGCTGTACTTCAGTTGTCCCTTTGGCCGTGTCTGTTTGACGCCTGTGGCAACGAGGCCACTGAGCGCTGTCTGTTCATTGTGGCCATAGGTCTCCCTGTGCTGGAGAAGCAGAGATGCTGAGAGGCAATGAGACATGGCAGAGGCCCCGCAGTGAGCCTGTGGCAGGAGCAGAGACCTGGGGCCTGGGTTTCCAGGCCGTAGTCCAGCGCTATCTCCCCCAACAGCCCAGCCCTTCGAGAGAGGGACGGACCCTTGTAGTGCCTGGGATGGCTTAGCAAAATATACGTTCTGTTGGGATCTGTACATAGCAGAAAAGAGTCAACATGTTGGTCTTCCTGGGGGCGGTACATCTGATTAATTTGGGCTATAGTTAAGCATGTTTGCCAGACTTTTTTCTGGGAGCCATGGCAACCCTCTGAATTTGCTAAATTGCTTTTGTCGAGACGGACTTCGTTTCGCTCAGCCAGCTTTGCAGGGCTGTTTCTAAAGTTATCGCAGTGCTGAGGTCTCGCTTGCTGACAGCAGCAGCAAGCCCCAGGTCCTGGCCCCAGAGGAGACACGTGGCTGTGCCCCTGTAGCAGAGTCCCTTCCTCTGCTGCAGTGGCGATCGCCAGGGTGCCCTTGCAGGAGAGGGGCAGCTCGTGGTCCTCACCTGGCGGAGTAAATCCCTGGTCACCCCTTGCGTTGGCAGCGCAGTCTCGTGGAGTCACTGGGATTTGTGACAGAGCTGTGTGCGGTTTTGTCTCCCCAGCTTTGGGACCATTTGGACCACACGATGTTCTTTCCTGACTTCAGACCCTTTCTGAGTAGCAGCTCACTGGATCAAGACAGCAGAGACAACGAGAGGGGCCACCAAGCCCACGCCGACCTCTGGGGACCAAGCCGACCCCCGCGATTGCCCATGACGCGGAGGTATAGATCCCGGGGCAGCTCGCGCCCCGACAGGTCTCCTGCTATCGAAGGGTGAGTGTCTAAATTGCCCTCTGGAAGTGCCTGCCTGTCCCTCTTCAGTGAAAAATGGGGGATCCCAGGGAGAAACAGTGTGAAACTGCAACCCTTGCATTGATGGTGGGAGACTCCTGGGACCCAGAAAACCTAAGTGTTCACATCAAACGCTCTGCATTTTGTCCCTCTCAGCATGGATCGATGTGGTATCGTAGCTGCGTGGTGGGAAAGGTGGGTTTTGCCTGTAGCAGTGCCAACTTTCACCACAAGGAAACAAAGCAGCGCTTGGGAAACTCAGTCATTTCCTTTCCCTCTCCCAGCCCTCCCACACTCTCCGATGAGTTAGCGTCACGGTTTGCCCTTCTGAACAGGGATGTCACCGGGTGTGAGTTTTGCAACAATATGGCTGTGATTGATCAGAGTAGTATTTCATGTTTTGCTACCCTTTCTTGCTAAACTGTTGCTGCTGCCCTGTATTTGTTTGCTCAACTTGTTCCTTTTCTCTTTCAATTCCTCCCCTCTTTAGAATAATACAGCAGATCTTTGCAGGGTTTTTTGCGAACTCAGCGATCCCTGGCTCCCAGCACCCTTTTTCCTGGTGAGTAGCAGTCATGCTTTTGCTCATGGCTTTGATCATGGCTGTCCACAAGCTGTGTGTGCACCCAGTAAACAGCACTTGTCTGGTGCCCAGGAGCTCTGTCTCCCCAGGTGACCGGTGCCACTGCTGGTGTAAGGTTTCTCTGGGCATATCGTGCAAAACCTCGGGGCTGATTTGGCATGGGTAAAATGGCTTCCTTGACTCTCTGCTCCCATCTGCAGGAGTGGGATGCTGCACTCGAATCCTGGGGACTATGCATGGGGACAGAGCGGCCTTGATGCTATTGTCACCCAGGTAAGACCTGCAGGTGTGTCCAGCTGGAGGAAGACCCAAGCCTGCTGTCTCTGCTTTTGATCTGTGCCTCTAAGTTTTTGTCTGCTTCTTCCCCTGCACTCCTCTCCAGTTAATCCCACTGCTGGAGAAGAGCCCTTGATTTCAGATAAGGGCTTGGTATCTGCTTGTGCCCTGCCTCCTCGGAGGGGGCTAAGAGTTGGGAACTGGACCTTACTTGTGGAAATACAACATCTTAGTTCTCCTCTTTGCCAACACACATGTGGTACAGGGGCTGCAGGTGCCTTGTAACAGGCTCACCAGAGGCTGAGGATGAAAATCCCCTGCGTCGGTCCCGGATCTCTCACCAAATTCAGCAATCTGGAGTCGTGAGCCATTTCCCCCTGTGGTTTGTGGAAGGAAGAGAGCTGAGTCTTCTCCTGTTTCCTCAAAGCATTGTCTGGCTCCTTTGAGGATCGGGGGTGTCCAGCCTCCATCCACAAACAGTCTCTTCCAGGGTGTTGGCGTCACTAGGGTGGAAAGGGAGAGCAGACAGATGCTTTACTGGGAGCTAATTTCACTGCTGTTGTCGTGCTGACACCTCCTGAAAGTGCCTGGCAAAGCCATCTGCTGTCATTCATAAGTAGCCCCCGGCTTCCCAGGCTGCGTCACATGCCCGTCTCGCCCGCCTTACTCACTGCTTCCCGAAATGAGTCTGCAGCCCACATGGCTGCTTGGAGACAGTGCCTTCCGCCTCCCACCCCACACCCAGCAAAACAGAGCAAGCCCCGGCAAGTGCCACAGCAGAACTGGGTTGATGTCGCAGTTTGGATTTGGACTGGATATACAGCTCCTCTCGGCTCCCCGCTGTGTCTGCAGAAGCAGCCCTGCCCATCCCAGGGTTTCTTGTCAGACCAGGCATTTTAATGTGGCCTTCAAAGTAAAAGAGACTGCTACAAATGCTTCTCTGTCCTCTCCCTGACCATGCTTGAACCCATTTGAGCCACTTTCCAGGTGAATCTAGGTCTTAACAGTGTACAATGCCTAGGAGTCATATAAAACTGTAATTCTAGGAAAGAGGTGCTGTCAGCACCGTCCCTGCAGCCTGTATGAAATATTCGAGACTCCATGCAGGAGATACAAACCCATACGAGAGCAGGTTTCTTTGGTATGGCTGCTCCTTGGTTTGATGGTGGTACTGGACTAAACAGCTTCTCTTGATAGCTTCCCCTCTCCCTGTGGGGTTGCCTCTCCTCCCACAGTCTGGCTGAGTCCAGAGAGACACAGAGGCATCTCCATTGACTCCCTTTCAGTTCAAAATCCTCTAGGACTAAAAAGACACCCTCCCCCTTGTCCATGGCATCATTTCCCTTCCCTCTCAGGCCCTTCAGTTTTCCCAGCTGTTGATGGAACAGAAAACATCTGAAAACATGAGCTGGAAGGAAATGATGAAGGAGGTGGGACTGCTGAGGCTGGAGGTGTGCAAGTAAGGTTCAAACACCAAAACTGCTGCTGCAGAGAAGGGAACAGTCACCTGTGCACTGAATATCTAAAGCTAGCGTGAAATGGCCTTAACTTGCTCATAGCAGGTACAGGTTGGGCAGCAGAAATGTTTCTGGTAAGGGAGCCCTAACGTGGCTTGCATGGGAAGCTGGTGAAATCTGTCACTTTGGGGACTTTAAGGAACAGGTCGGAGAGAAATCTCCCAGGGCCAGGCTGTGCTGAGCCATTCCTGCCTTGCTCTTTGTTCTCGGACCGTAGCGTTCTCCACGCTCCGTGTTTGTACTGAGGATGCTCTGCAAGGCAAAACCATGTTTGTACTCCTGACTACAGCCTGCGTTTCTTGTTATTCTTTCCAGCTCTTGGGACAGTTGGAAAACACAGGACCGCCTCCAGCCGACAAAGAGAAGATCTCATCTCTCCCAACAGTGACAGTAACTCAGGAACAAGTTGGTAGGTGAAATCCAGTATCCTGTCTCTTCCTCTGTGTCTGATACTTGTCACTTGTCTCCGAACGTTTTGATGTACAAAGGGTCATTGCAATGCCTGGAAGTTTGTTTCTAGGGCCTGAGCTCCCCACTCCCCCTGCCAAGGATCAGCCTCTTTGTTGTATCCTTGTGCGTCCCTGGCGGCTGGCTGACATGGGAGGGTAGAGGGCAGTACTGCTCCATTCTCGTGAATCACTGGCTAGACTCACCGGTGGAAATATTCATGGCTTTTATCTCCAAAGATCCTGAGCTTTACTCCTGCTGTCAGCTCTGGTATTCGGTTCTTCTTGGACCCCTCATCTCAGATCTCTGCCACTCTAGTCCGTCAGGAATTGAAAGCAAAAACCTTCACTCTATAGAGTATGTTTGCGCAGTCCCTAAGCACCGCCTCTTCGGCCTACCAAACCTGTGACTGCTTGGCCTTTTCTAAAATCTTCCCTTTATTCTGTTTTTTATGATTCCGTTAAAGTTGGGCTCTGCGTGTTGCTTTCCTCCCTTTCAGGTTGGCTCACAGTAGGGCAAAAAAACTGCTGAATTACCCCTGAAATGTCATGTAAAGATCACAGGTTCCTGTCATGTAGCCAGCAGGAAAGACCTGTGGGTTTTTCATAGCGTTTATGGTTTTGCAATTAGCTCATCCAGGGGATTTTTCTCCCTGTATTTGCAAAAGGCTGTCTCTGAAGGCTACTCAAAGGATCCCTTTCCCTCTGAGCTGCTCTATTCCTGGAAACTAAAATGCTCCATTAAGACACGCTATTTGATTAGAAAAGCTGTTTCCATGACAGATATTTTTGTCTGGTTCTTTTTATACACCCATGTCTCTTATTCTTGTCTGGGAAGCCAAGAAGCATCTGAATTTCCATGTTGTAATGCTTGGTCCTGCCTGTTTGAATCGACAGAGCTTGGGCTGCGCAGCCTGGCAGCTGAGAGAGCATTAGCGTTGTGAGCTCGGTCTCCCTGCTGGCTGCGGCTGGGAAATTTGTGTTAGCGTTACAATGGCAGTGTCAGGCTTGGTATGAGGGAAGAGGAACCAGGTTTTTGCTGTCTCTCCTGGTTGACGTTACGTAGCAATGTGCTGTGCTCTTGCAGAGGAGGTCATGCATTGGAAGCATCCCTAGCCAGCCTTGCAAAACTGTCCTTGTTCCAGGTGAGGAAGTTTTGGCAGGGCTCAGCTAAAATACCCTTAGTTTGAATTTTCTTGTCAGTTAGTCTAATGTGGGATCGTACAGATGCTACTTTTGGCCTGTACGATTAGCAGGATTTGCACCAAATGCTACCTGAGAGTTGACCATTGGGAAATACAGCAATTATTTCTGTCCTAAAAGGAACTTCAGAAATTGGTGAAGGTCACAGAAGCGTCAGTAAAACCACCGAAGGGTTTTGCGAAAAGGACTGGAGCCTGCAAATTCAGCAGGCTGGGTAGGATGTTCCCATGACAGAGCACCAGGTGCAGTTGGAGGGCTCGTGCTGTTGCACTCTAGGTGACCCTAGTAAGCTGCTTTGCCTAGGGATCCTCTAGAGTCAAGGCAGAAAGGGGACCCCTGTCAAGGGAGACTGTCTCCCAGCTGGGTCAGGGACTTTGCCCTGATCCCTTCTCTCCTGGGTGTATCAGGATCAGTCAGTGACTGTCCTGTGCGTTATGGGCTCTGAACATCTCCCTGTGGGGAAGGAAAGCTGCCTCCTTCCTCCTGTCTCGCAAGGAAGGAAGGAAGGGTGTAAATTCTGTCACTCCCTCCCTTGACAAGCTGTCCAAAGCAAACTCAGCTGGTTGCATCTCTGTCGCTGGCTACTTGAACCGTCTGTCCTGCTACTTCCCTTCTCCAGGGCAGCCTGTCGGAGAGAGGCGTGAACCTCCTCTGGGCTCCTAAAAGTTGGACGTGTTATTACCAGAGAGCTGAAACTCTCTCTGCAGGTTACTGTTGGTGCCCTGCCTGCTTCACCCTTCCCTGGTCTGTGCGTCTCTTCTAGATACGGGTTTGGAGTGTCCTGTGTGTAAAGAGGACTACACAGTAGCGGAGCAGGTTCGGCAGTTACCGTGCAATCACTTCTTCCACAGCAACTGCATCGTGCCATGGTTAGAGCTGGTAAGAGTCTCTGCCTGCATGGGAGCCCTGCGGATAAGTGTGGCTCTTTGTGAGCTCAGGTCCTGGTCTGGGGGCTCTGAACCGGGCTTTGGAGACGCCACGGGCTGCAGCTAGCTGGCTGTGTCTGAGCCAAGCCCTGAGTGCTTGCGGGGGTGAATGTCTCCTGCAGTAGTGAGGAATGATTTGGAAAGCCAAGTCAAGTCTTGGCACTCGTCTTTGTTAGGGCAAAAGGAGGGTAACGGGGCTGTAATGTCTCCCACTTCTCCAAAGCCCCGCTTTGAATCGCGCCTGCATCAGCTGGAGCCATGTAGCAATTGGGGTATGGGTGCAACAGCCCCAGGTTGCAGCGCGGGGACGGTGGGTGAGAGGATTCCTCCAAGCCGCAGGATGGGAAGGCAGCCACCTGCGTGGCATTTTCCTGAGACCCCCGCGTTTCCCTTGCAGCATGACACATGTCCCGTGTGCCGGAAGAGCTTAAATGGCGAGGATTCGACTCGGCAAACACAGAACCCTGAGGCCTCAGCAAGTAACAGCTTTAGTAGTGAAAGCCAACTACACGATCGATGGACTTTCTGATGCTTGAGGGCTTCTTGGGGGCTCTGGCTGGAGAATTGTTACTACAGATGTACATTGTATTATAATTCAAACAAAAAGAGTAGCAGGAAATATAGGGCAGGGGAGGGAACTCACCCCGTGATATTACTGCAATGAGTGCTGTCTTTTTCCTGAAACTTTAGCATCTCTGAGCGAATCGTGTCTCCATCGGAATCGCCTCTTTAGTCCTAAATTCAGAGTCTTTGAGTGATTTGACTTGATTTTATACTTGTGAAACCTTTACTTAGACTCCTTTGAAGGGGGCAAGGAGGGCAGGGAGGTTGGCATCTGTTGTGCAGACCCTGCCTGGGTCCTGAGATCTCTCGTGCAGCCCTATCCACGCGGGGTTGGCTCCCCCTGCTCTCGCTCCGCGTCCCCCCCTGCCCCCCACAGAGAGGTAGCAAAGATGGGGAAAACGTCCCCGTTACAGAGTTCCTTTTGGCAAAGGAGGGCATGGAAACAAGAAGATTTTTGACTTCTCTCCTCTGGCCCCTTTCTGTGCCCCTCGGACCATGTGGGTGGAACCAAATCCAGGAGTGTTTTTTCTTCCGCTCTTGAGTTCAAGTAAAAATGTCTATGGAAGAGTGTTCTAGGCTTTCTCAAGGGAGAGGCAGGAGTGAAGATGGAGGTACAGAAGGGTCTCTGGATCAGGTATCTTACTGAGGCGTGCTGGCGGAGAGAAGTGTGCTCATGTGGTCAGGACGCACAGGAGCCCACGGTTCTGGGAACAGGAATGCACAAGCAGGTTTTTTGTCTTGTGAACTTCTCTCTTTTTGTTTTTTCCCCTCTTCCTCTCTCTCTCTCTTTTTTTTTTTTCCCCCTCTCCCCCCTGGCCCTTCTCCATGTGCCTGTGTCCCCAGGTCTGTCCAAACCTGTCCCCTACCCACAGTGAGTCGTTTAGGATCCTTAGCTGGCTTGTATCATATGGACCACATTAAAGGCATCCTTCAGGAAAACAGACCTAACTGTGCATAACCATTTTAATGGCTGATTCTTCAGTGTTTAACACAAAATCTTAATTCTCTCTTAGTCTGGTAACTTTAAGAGAATCTCTCTATTTTTTGCAGATTTTTTTTTTGTTTTATTTTTTTTTCCACTTCTGTAATGTTTCATCCATGTTTGACTTCTTGTTTTTATTGTCTAAATCATGTCTGTGCTTAAGGCACCCACTAAACCACCGTGTGGCAGTGTTAAATCCCCGGCTCAGCCCGGCAGCAGGCGGGAGGGAGAGGTAGGTCGTGTCTAAACATGTTGCCACTTCATTGCTGTAACGGTGTACTACGTACACTCGATTTAAACTAGTGTTTTGTTTGCTATTAAGTCAAATAAAGGCCTTTATAAAGAAGACCAGATGTTGAGAAGATTGTTGGGGCTGGAAGAGGTGGCCAAGGAGCCTGGGAAGCTACTGAAGGACTAAGTGGGGTGGAAATAAGCTAGTGGGGATCGTGTAGAGGGGCTTTCCTGTAAGAAAAGTTCTCACTCAGGAGGTGGAGGTCAGCGCTTGAGTCCTAACATGGACTGGGGAGGGGCGGCCAGCGGTAGGATGGTGTTTGTAAAGTGTCAGCGTTGTCCCTTCTTGCACATGGATGCTGAAGCGGTGGTTGCTGCAGGTAAGCCCAGATGCGGGTTGCCTGGCCCCATCGAAACTGCGGGACCAGGAGCGCTCCTGGGGGCCGGCCTGCCTCCCCCCTGGGCACTCGGTTCCCCCTCCCTGCCTCGTGGCGAGGTTTTGGGAAAGGGAGACCCAGGTGTGGGGGCCAGAAGGAGGTTTTTGAAACTGCTGCTGTTGCCTGAGGCTGGGACTTGTCTCGCCCCACAGCACGGTTAAGGGGCTGAGCCGGACACCCCTCTGCGCCGCACTGTGCCTTTCCCTTTCTTTAAGCAGTTTGAGCGTCTGCAGCAGGAGGAAAGCACAGGGATCGATGTGCTGAATCCTCCTGCGTGTTCATTTATGCCTCCAGGGTTGGAGCAGCCACAAGCCATCTACCCACCTCCCCACAAACTGCTGAGCGCACCAGGGGTTGGGCTTATGCCTGGAAAAGCAGCTCAAAAGCTGCTGTTGCATGTTGAGGACCAGCTCTCCTGCTTGCACGATGGGCATTTAAAGCACAAAGACCAATCGTGCGCTTTTGAGAGCCAGATGCAACTCTGCTCTGCGACAGGCTGTGATTTAAGAGCTGATAAATGGCTCCCAGCAGTGTTGGTTGGTGACAACAAAAGGGAAAAAATGGTTTGACAGGAGCTCTCTCCTTTTTAAAAACTTTTTCTTTGATTGCTTTATCTCACTGCTCTTCCCCCTGTTCTTTGGCATGTCGTGTTCCCCTAAAGAGCCCCATGGACGTGGTGAGTGCTGGGGGTGGCTGGGGGCCACATTTCTCCTGTTATTTGGGGTATTTCCAGGTTTCTGGGCCCGATTCTTCCCTCATGTGTGTTTTGCCTGCTCAGCCCTGCTCCAGCTGGTCCTGCTGCTATTTCCAAGTCTTGTGAAGTGCCTGAAATCAGGGCTTTCCTCCTGCTGGGGACAGCGTTTAAGTCAGGTGGATGCTGGGGGCTCACAGGGGCCTGAGGGAGCAGGAGAGGGAGGTGGGGGGGGGAAAGAGGAGGATTTTGTGTGTCCAGCAGACGCGCATCCCCCCATTGCTCTGTGCTTCGTAGCCCCGGCTGCCATCAGCCTGAACAAAACGTTTGAGATAGGGTCTGGTGGGTTTTGATGTTTTTTTTTTCCCCCCCTCCTGAGGTGGGGAGCAAAACTCAACTCCTCAAGCCGGGGAGGCAGCGCCGCGGGTACCATGCGCTCGAGCATCTCCGGAGGTGGGGGGCTGAGCTTTATTGGTGGAGAGTTGCTTGTTCAGACTGGTCGCTTCATGTTTCTCCAGCTACACAACCACCGTGAAGGGGGTTCCCCTGCGTCCCCAAGTCCTTCGGGCTCCAACCGTGAGTCTCCGTGGCCTGAACGCTGGGCCCCCAACCTCACCTGGCTGCGTCCAGGTGCCAGCTCCATCCAACCCTGGTGCCGGCGGAGGTGTCACCCTCCGGGTCAGCCCCCAAGGCGGAGGTGCCCGCAGGCAGAGGAAGGACAACAGCCCTTGCTGGTGGCGATGGCTCAGCAGCAGGACGGGCCGGAGAGAGCTGGGCTGCGGGCAGGAAGCACGGGGCCAGCGCCTGCTCTCACTGCTCCTCTTTCTCCTCCTCCTCCTCCTCGGGGAGCTTCTTGCGGGTGAAGAAGCCCAGCTAGGGCGAGAGGAAGAGGATGGAGGGGAGGAAAGACTGGGGGCACCACCACCAGCACCATCCTGCCAGGCAAAGCCCTGGCCCCGCTCTCACCTTCCACAGGCAGAAGATGATGGACGCCAGCAGGAGCAGGCCCCCGATGATGCTGCCCACCAGGATCCAGAGCGAGACGGGGACCCGCTTGCGCTGGAGGATTTCGAGCACCGTCTGCAGGAAAAAAGAGGCTGCCGGGAGCAAGGCGGGGGGAGCCC